GACTATACAACAACGTGGGAAACTGGTCCCTATCTGGTCCCTCTGTTGTTTCCTTATCTGATTTCATTAAGAATTGAACCAGACATCTGACTGGTTATTCTGAATGCAAGGGAACTGAATTGTATCAGATTCCTTATCTTGTTCTCTCATGAAGAAAGTTGTTTTACCTTCCTTGATTGTATTTATACATGTGTGACATCACTTACAATGATATAAGCAAGGTAGGTAAAAAGCCTTTCATAGAAAGTTGACTGTTGCACTATTCCTGTACAGTAGCGTGTGCATGCAGCAACTTTCCAACAGGAGAGTTGACTTCATACAATCTCCTCGGGAACTGGTAGGGACCTGTTCTCTTGGTTTTTCCTTCCACTCTGAAGAGTTGAGTTATATCTCATGCTGGATCCCAACCTTGAACTTTGTAATGTACAATAGGTTCCTTATCTGGTTCTTGATGGTAAGTTTGTTAGATCATCAAAACATAAAGTAAAGTACTTATGCCCAAAATACTTGTAACCTATCATAGTCCATAAATACCAGGTGTTTTAGCTCGGCCCAAATTTTATCCCAACATGCCAAACTTGGACGAAAATTCCTTTTCTTTGACTTGCTCCCCCTCTCACCTTCACGAATTTACTCATCACATGTTTGAAATAGCCAAATTCTTATAAGCTCCAAATAATCTTTTTCCTTGGACTGATGTCAATTACCTTACGACAAATTCAATGTACAATACTACAGGGTACAAAATCGTCGTAATTTAATACTACAAAGCGTAACATCATCGTAATGTAATACTGCAAGGCGTAACATCATCGTAATATAATATTGCGGGACGTAATATTGACATAATATTACGGGCCGTAATAACCCTATATTTTCGTACGTGTAAGTACGGCATAAGCAAATTGATATAAGTTCGGCAATGAGATTTATTTTGGGATTATAAGTATTACACTATTTCAAACAAGTGATAAGTTAATTCGTGAAGGCAAGAGGGTAAGTGAATCGAAGAAAATGAATTTCATCGAAGTTTGATATTTTGGGATAAAATATGGCCCGAGCTAAAATACCTGGTTTATGGACTAGTACCATACAAGATACCACATGTCCATGATAGCAAGATGTACCAAGTGTGTTAAAAGTGAGTAGTATTTTAAGTAATTTGAGATAATTCTTAATTATGTGGATATTTAATTAATTATTGATTTTTTGTGGAAGATTAACCATGTATCCACCCAATGTGGCCGCCATTAAGAGCTAAAAGAATGACTCTTGAATTAAAATGCAACATAGCACATTGGATGATTAAGGGAGAAAAGTCATCAAAGTTAAAGGGACCTACCAACTAGCATTCTTGAAGAATTCATTTTTAAAGTACTAAGCTTCATTTTGGATAAAAACAACTTACGGATAATACTCCAACAATTCAACCAAAATCATCCCTTAGCATCTTCCAAAATTTCCTTCAAAATGCGATATTTTATAAGCATCTTCAACAAGGAATTCATGCGAAGTTATACGACATAATAGTAACGGGATTTGCAATTTTAAGGGAGCCCGATATAATTTTTCTCAAGAATATCATATAGATTATTTTCCTACAACGGTCCGTCGTTACGTGTCGTCGCAATTGACGTGTGTTAGGGGGTTGTCAAGAGAAACGGCTCAGGTATGTTAAGGTTATCCCTTCTTTCTTCTGGCATGATCTATACGACACAAATGAAACGAGCTAATACACAACTTCTATAAATTACTCTATTTGTAGAAATTCTAGAGATGTGTATATTTTTATTCTCCCATGTGTCATATTATTCTATCATCTGTTCATGGGACTCAAAAATACGTAAGTTGGTAAAGTTTATTTCATGATATTAATCAGAGGCATAATGGTCTCATGATGTACCGAGAAATTTATTAACGTATTTCATGCATTTACACATGCACATTGACCCATAATCAGGTGGCGTTATATACGCATATATATATATGTATATATATGTATATGGGATATGGGAAAGGTTATGGCGTTATATACGCACTACCACTTGATCAGCTGGTATACGTTGATGATTTTGCCCACAGTGGCCGAGATGATATGATGGGATGCCCTCAGAGGCACGATGATGTTATGACACATGTACCTATGCACGACATGACATTCATACGCATGTGCATGACACTATAATTATTTCACGATTTACAGAGTTATGAAGACTTACAGGTTGAGTCACTTACTCTATTTTTCTTCCATGTCTGTTATATACTTATTTATGTGCCTTACATACTCGGTGCATTATTCGTACTGACGTCCCTTTTGCCTGGGAATGCTATATTTCATGCCCGTAGGTCCCGATAGACAGGTCGAGAGCCCTCCAAGTGGGCTATCAGCTCAACGGAAGATGTTGGTGCGCTCCATTTGCTTCGTAGTTGCTTGCTTGTTTAGTATGATTTAGATGTGTACTATTTGGTGTGGCAGGACTTTGTCCCGAACTTTATAAAAATTATGTATTCTTAGAGGCTTGTAGACAGATGTCATGTACCTAAAAGGTGGGGGATTTGCATCTATACACGCTTTTTGGGTCACGTTTTAACTTGTGCCTGCTTTGCAAAAAAAATTGCAAGCGTACTTGCTTATTCGCGTAACTTCAGCATACGGGGCTGAAGTAGCAAAGGCAATCACGCAAAACTTCAGCATTCAAGTAGACGGGCCTGAAGTAGCAAGTGTGCTGAACCAAGTGTGCTGAAGTTTTTGTTTGAAATTGTTGAACTTAAGCATAGTAGTTGAAGTTTTGTTCTCTATTTGCTGAAGTTTTTGTTTGTAAATGCACTAAATAAGCTGAAGTTTTTTTTGTCCTGGATTCATTAGTTTTGACATTAAGCTTTTTCAAAAACTTCAGTAGAAGATGCTGAAGTTATTTAGTTCATTTATATAAACTTCGACACGAAAATAAGCTGAAGTTTTTTTGTCCTGGATAAGCTTTTTCAAAAACTTCAGCAGAGATGCTGAAGTTATTTAGTTCATTTGTAAAAACTTCAGCACTAAATAAGCTTAAATTTTTTTGTCCTGGATTCATTAGTTTTGTCATAAAGCTTTTTCAAAAACTTCAGCAGAAGATGCTGAAGTTATTTAGTTCATTTGTAAAAACTTCAGCACTATATAAGCTGAAGTATTTGAAAAAGCTTTCTAACATTATTAGATTGTCAATAGTACCTAATCATAAATTTTGAAAATAATAAACGTGAAAAGAAAAGAATTATCATGAAAAAAATGTGACCTTAAACTTCCAGCACGTGGAAATATTCACAAATTATTATCTACTAACTTACGTAATTATTTATAATTTATTTTTAAATAATCTGATAAACATACTTATGGCAATCATCCCATAAACTGAAGTCTCATAGCAGCACCAACAGCAGCAGAAGACAGAAGAAGAAGAAGAAGAAGAAGAAGAAGAAGAAGAAGAAGAAGAAGAAGAAGAGGAGGAGGAGGAGGAGGAGGGGGGAGGGCTGAAGTTGTTTAAAAAGTGGGTGGGTACAAGTTAAAACTTTTTAAGAAAATGGGTATAGGTTAAAAGGGGGCGACCAAATAGGGCGCTCCGTGCAATTTTTACCTAAAATATTGTATGGCCTTGTCGGCCTATGTTCAGTATACGAGTTTTTATTTTGGTCTTATAGGCCCGTATGTCTTATGTATAAGTTGGTACCACATGTTGTATTCTACTTATCTTACGGCAGCCTTCCAGCTCAGTTATCTATGATAGTATGATATGAAAAGATGCGTTATGTTGGTACTCGATTGAGTAAGGTACCAGGTGCCCGTAGCGGCCCATCGGTTTGGGTCGTGACAAAAATATTCTCCTTCCAGTAAACGTTGATATGCAGTTGATGTCGGGCGAGATTTGCGCTGTAACATCAGGTTAAGGGCGAATAGTAAGGCTCTCCGGTTATCGGTTCTAGCCGTCTTTTCCCCTAGTCTCGGCCCTTCACTCTGCTCGGACCCGATGCTCGGTTGTGTCCGATACCGGGTGCACCATTTGTCCTCCCCGGGCTCTGAGGTGCAGGTGCCCTCGGTACTACTCGAGGTCATATCGGGTTGCACTATCCTCTCGTTTGTTTATCGGGAAATCGAGGGTAACTTTTATCCCTGGTTCTACCCGTACACAATAATATTATTTTTTTACTGCGCGAATAGACCAATTTTACAAATTATTATTGCTATTTAGTTGTTATAACTCTATACCAATTGGAAACACCTAAGAAACGTTTTATGAGTTTTACCTGCTAATAATAATATAAAAAATTTAATTATATTGATTTGATTTATATACGTATATAAATAGCACTCTTAAAATTCAGTTAACTAAGACTATAATATCAATATTTATATTGATATTTATAACCATAATACTCTTAAAGTTTAGTATGCAATATACATCTATTTTTATTAATTATCTCCACTCTTTTATATTGAAACGGTTGGCGCACCGCGCAGGGATGTATATACTAGTTTAAGAAATATAGTATAGAAAATAATCTTGCTTCGGAGGAATACCTCTATAAAATTTAAAAAAAAATTTCAGTCAGGCGATAACATACACAAATGAACAGTTTACAAAAGTATTTGTTTAGTTAACCATAAAAACAAAACCTCGGCACACAGAGATGAAACTGAATATGCTACACATTATGTAGAATAGTAACCCCAAAACCCAACTAAGTTTACGACAGCAATCAATATCTAAATTTACTTTTTGTTTTTATCAATTAACTTCTAATATGCACTCATTTAGGCACTTTGATTTTTTTTTTTTTTAAAAAAAACCATTGATATGAATTGGTGCAAAGGTGCATAAAATCCTTTTTACGTGCAAGAAAAGTGGACATTTAACAAACTTTTTACAGTATTCCCTTCTGCTTCCGTTTGACTCAAGTTTTATTCCTTCATCTACTTTTTCCTCTTCAAATATAATCTTCCAACCCAAATTAACGCAAAAAAGTGAACGCTAAGCTGCCTATGCTTGACAAGCCAACAATATAAACAATGCTTCAGGTCATAAAATACCAGAAGATATATAATCAGCCAAAGCAACTAAAATAAAATAAATCTAATAAACAAATTCGACAACACTCTGTTTCAGTTGAAACCTACAATCCTGGATATTTCAGTTCTAGAGGGCTACTCTTCTGTAAGTTCCATAATATCGGAAGGAAGAAGCTCTTTGAGGCAAGCCAAGATTTTCAGTCTCAGCTCCTAGTTTCACCTAAACTCGATTTCATTAATGCCGACGAAGCCTACTGTCTGTCTGTATCAATTCATCTTCAGGTGATAGACGTATGTGCAAAGTTCTAGATACTCCAAGTAAGAAATCACCAAGAACACAAGCCTCAAGGCCAGTCCATGAAAAACAACCCTTCTTCAGATCCAAGCCATGCACCTTGCATATGTTTCCCCACTCCTGGGCGACATGTTAGAAATTGGACATTTTCTATCATGGGAAAAGAGGTGTTTTTGGAGGAATATGGACGCAAAGGCTGGTAATACCTTCAGTTTTTGGCCAGCGTACAACTGTGGGGATCGTATCCATGAATTTATCTTCGAATAGTAATTCGCCAGATTTCATACTCCATAGCCGCAAATGATAGTCCTCTCCACCTGGCAAGAATGTCTTTAGAAAGTAGTTCACATTTTCTCGCACACAGATAAACAATACAAGTCATAAAGCCATAGCTACCTGACGATCTTGCGGGTCCCCGGTACGTAGCCCCCTCCTCGACTCGAGTTGTCCGCTCGGGTACACAGTCTAGAACATATACCCAGGTTTTGAACCTAGAATAACTTGACCTCATGCCGGATCTCTAGTAGGAACGCTTATTTGCATCACGTGCATATGACTTAGGGGACTCAACACAGGGGTTGGGTCCGTCTAGGACAGGTGTACCCGGAATAATGGACCATCCTGATGCATCATACTTGTGCATTTATCTGTTTTGGACTCGCATGCTGACCGGCTTTGAATATCCGGAGAAATTGAAAAAAAACAAAAGGGGGAAAGAGAAAATAGTAGTGTAGAGAGTTAATTACCTATATTAAAAAAATCAATGTCCAAGTAGTGCCGAAATTCTGCCGGATTTTTGAGAAAAATGAAAGAACAAAGAGAAGTATTTTTTTTTTAGTTTAGTTAGTTTCGTTTAGTTTGTTTTGTTTGCCAATGGAAAAGAAAAACAAAAAGAGTTTTATTTTCAAATTAGTTTGTTTTATTTGCCACTGAAAAAGAAAATATAAAAAGAGTCTTGCTTTCAGAAATAGTGTATTTGCCAACAAAAAAAAACAAAGAGTCTTGCTTTCAGAAATAGTGTATTTGCCAACAAAAAAAAACAAAGAGTCTAGTTTTCGAAGATAGTTAGTTTTATTTGCCCGAACTACGCAGGTTTGATTCTCACCGGATGTGAGATACGTAGGCAACCCTCATCGGGTCCAACCTCCCCTTTGCAAAAATAGCCAAAAAATGCCAGAATTTTTAACTTCGTTATGAATAAGTCGGGTGACGCCATTCTTGCCAAAAATAAGTCAAATGTCCCTAAAAGGGCGCCAGAAGGCCGTTTTTGCAGGAACAGCCACCTTGGGTCATTTTCAACGGTTAGCGGGCACAGCCTTAAAATCTTCTTTACGAAGTGCTGAAAGGCCGTATCCGCAAAAACTGGCTGCTTGTTTTAAATTGGAAATTTGAACAAAATAGTGTCATGTTATTTTTTCCTATTAGGTCAAAATAAGTGATTAAATCACCTTAATAAATGTGCAGGATGAGCACGATTCAAAATGAACCTTTCTCAATCATGACTAAAACCCCTCTGGAGTTGTGTCTATGGTAGAACGATCTGGGTAAAGAAGGACAGGACGAGGTCAAAAAGTATTTAAAAGGGCTTACTGGTCTGTTAGAGATTGTGCCTCGGGGAGACATCATCAGAGCATTGGTCACATGTTGGGACCCGGCACATAACGTCTTCCATTTCTCGGACTTTGAACTAACCCCGACCTTGGAAGAGATAGCCGGGTACATTGGAAATAATGAGGTGCCTTTAAGACAAAAATACTTGGTTGCCCCAAGAACTGTAGCTGTGCACAGGTTCTTAGACTCACTAAAGATAATCAGGACGGTCCACAATCCGGACTTGGCAAAGGGTTTTTGTACTCCACACTTCATATACCACAGATATGGCTACATAAGAGGGTTCAACGACCCAAAAAACAAGATATGTAGTAAAGGAAACCGCCAAAAATGGGAAGAACATAGGCATTTTGCTTTTATGGTGGTTTTTCTGGGACTTTTGGTATTTCCGAGGAAAGATGGAAACATTGACATAAAAATAACCGGGGTCGTCAATACTTTAATGACTCAAGCCAAAAGCACTCTTGCACCCATGATAATAGCTGAAATCTTTCGAGCTCTCACAGCCTGCAAAGCCGGAGGGAACTTCTTTGAAGGGTGCAACCTCTTGTTGCAAATGTGGATGACTGAAGACATGTGCCATCGTCCTCAATTCCTGAGTTATGGTTCATCTGAGAAAACCTGCATAGGGGAGTTCTACACAAGGATTGACGGGGTCAGCTTACCTAAAGGAGTAACCGCCTGGACATCATACTTTCGGACTCTCACTGCCAGTCAGATGCAGTGGACGCTTGGATGGTTACCCGTTGATGAAATCATGTACATGTCAGCGGCTAGGTCGCATTTTCTTTTGATGGGACTTAAGAGCATCCAGCCTTACGCTCTATATCGGGTTTTGAGACAACTTGGGAGATGCCAAATAGTGCCACAAGATGAGGATCTTAGTGCTCAGGTAATTGAGATTAGCCCTGACGGACAGTTTCCTGAAGCAAGAGTCTGCCAGATTTGGAACGAATGTCAATACTTAAAAGCAAATACTTGCATACAGGATCGGGCCAAAGGCGAAGTGTCGCCAGGATATCTTGCTTCGTATAGGAGAGAACATGAGTACGAGAGGCCAGCTAAAAGACCACACCTCCAGGACTTTGTCGAATCATCACAGGATCAGTAGGGTTGGTTAGAAAAAGAAAGGGAATACAGGGCCCGCATAGGAGCATTGGAAAAATAGGTCCAAGACCTCTAGTTTAAAAATAGCGTGCAAGCCGCGGCTGATGAGGGTGAGAGAAAGAAATTGGCCAAAGAGAATGAAGCCTTACGAGCCCAAATCCAAAAGATGAAGCTAGTGGCCGAAAATCCCGTCAGGAGTGCCAAAGATGCAAAGCTTATAGAAAATCTAAGGCAAAAAGTGAATGACTATAGTTTTGACCTCAACAAGGCAGAAAGGGAATTAGCCGGGGTTCGGAAACAATTGGCTAAAAACGCGGAAGAACGGGCCCGCATGGTTAAGTAGTTGAAAGAAGAATACGATAATGAGGTCACGGGATTAAAGAAAAAGGTCATCGCCACAGAGAACAAGATGATCAAACAGGCAAAAGAATTCAAAGATGAAAGAGAGCACTGCTACACGGCATTGGCACAATTAGAAATGGACTTGCAACAACTCCAGGAACAAAACCAGGTAGCCGAGCAAACTTTGTAGGCTAGGGCCCAACAGATAGGGCGGTTGCTTCAGGAAAAAGGCAGAATTAGAGAGAGAATCTTAACCGTTGCTCACTCCATTACTAGGAAATGCCAAGTGTGCGAGAATATGACTCGTACCACCTTCTTTGCATCTGTGATGATATTTGTGAAGCAGATAATGAGTGACCTGGACAGACTTCAAGGGGAACTTGCATATAGGCCCGCGGCGAGACCGAACGATGTCCCGCGGGCACCAGGAGCTTTAATGTATTCATGATTGTCATTTGAGTCTGTATTTCCTATTCTACTAGAGTTTGTCATTTGAGTCTGTATTTCCTTTGCTACTAGAGTCTGTCAGTTGTCTGANTATATATATATATATATATATGTATGTATATGGGATATGGCAAAGGTTATGGCGTTATATACGCACTACCACTTGATCAGCTGGTATACGTTGATGATTTTGCCCACAGCGGACGGATGATATGATGGGATGCCCTCAGAGGCACGATGATGTTATGACACATGTACCTATGCACGACATGACATTCATACGCATGTGCATGACACTATAATTATTTCACGAGTTACAGAGTTATGAAGACTTACAGGTTGAGTCACTTACTCTATTTTTCTTCCATGTCTGTTATGTACTTATTTATGTGCCTTACATACTCGGCGCATTATTCGTACTGATGTCCCTTTTGCCTAGGAACGCTACATTTCATGCCCGTAGGTTCTGATAGACAGGTCGAGAGCCCTCCAAGTAGGCTATTAGCTCAACGGAAGATGTTGGTGCGCTCCATTTGCTCCGGAGTTGCTTGTTTGTTTAGTATGATTTAGACGTGTACTGTTTGGTGTGGCAGGACTCTGTCCCGAACTTTATGAAAATTATGTATTCTTAGAGGCTTGTAGACAGATGTCATGTACCTAAAAGGTGGGGGATTTGCATCTATACCCGCTTTTTGGGTCACATTTTAACTTGTGCCTACTTTGCAAAAAAAACTGCAAGCGTACTTGCTTATTCGCGTAACTTCAGCATTCGGGGCTGAAGTAGCAAAGGCAATCACGCAAAACTTCAGCATTCTAGTAGACGGGCCTGAAGTAGCAAATGTGCTGAACCAAGTGTGCTGAAGTTTTTGTTTGTAATTGTTGAACTTAAGCATAGTAGCTGAAGTTTTGTTCTCTATTTGCTGAAGTTTTTGTTTGTAATTGCTGAACTTAAGCATAGTAGCTGAAGTTTTGTTCTCTATTTGCTGAAGTTTTTGTTTGTAAATGCACTAAATAAGCTGAAGTTTTTTTGTCATGGATTCATTAGTTTTGTCATTATGCTTTTTCAAAAACTTCAGCAGAAGATGCTGAAGTTATTTAGTTCATTTATATAAACTTCGACACTAAATAAGCTGAAATTTTTTTGTCCTGGATAAGCTTTTTCAAAAACTTCAGCAAAGATGCTGAAGTTATTTAGTTCATTGGTAAAAACTTCAGCACTAAATAAGCTTAATTTTTTTTGTCCTGGATTCATTAGTGTGACGACCCAAAGGGTCATCACCGGATTTCTCTCTTTTTCCGTGCTTCCGAGGCCTTGAAAACCTCACCTTTAGTCGCCTGGATTTGCATGCGCAGTCCGAGCTCTTAGCCGGAAAGATTATATGTTAAATTCTGTGAAAAAATTTTAAAATGTGGCTTTAAAATGATTAAAGTTGACTTCGGTCAACATTTTTGGTAAACGGACCCGGACCCGTGATTCGACGGTCCCGGAGGGTCCGTAGAAAAATATGGGACTCGGGCATGTGCCCGGAGTCGAAATCCGAGGTCAAGAACGTGAGTAAAAGAATTTTTCTGTGAAATTATTTTTCTGAAATTATTAAGGAAAATGGAAATGAAAATTGATTAAAAGATTATGGTATCGGGCTCGTATTTTGGTTCTGAAGCCCGGTACAAGTCTTAAATATGTGTTAAGCGCTTTCTGTAATGTTTGGTCGAAAACAGACGTCATTTGGCGTGTTTCGGACCTAAACATCTAAAATTTGAAGTTTATGAAGTTAGAATGAAAAATG